ACAAGGTATGCCATTTGGGAGAACTTGAAGTTTCTTTTACTAGGAAATATAAGAGAAAACCCGCAATTTCATTTAGTCTCCGTTTGCCTTGGACTACCAGTGCTGCAATTCTGCCGTGGGCTCTGCACTTAGGAGAGAACCCACTGAAGAATGGGACGGAGGGGAGTTGGAGAAATGGGATCTCAGTGCGGACGAGTCACTTGTCCTTGGTCTTACACCTGAGGGGCCGAGCGTCACTCTCCTGCCCTGCCAAATGACAACTTCACTTCTTGGATCCCTCCAGCCTCCTAAGCCCCTTCCCTTCTTTCCCTCCCATCTCAGTTGAGCACCTGGTTTCCCACACCCCTAAGCCGTCAGAGCACCCCCTTATGGACCCCTGTTCTCGCCCACGCCTTCCAGGTGTCTGCCCCATGCCAGCGGCCCTCCCTGGGAGTGTGCCCCGCTGTTCCTTCCTCCCATCTCAGCCCTCCCGGGCTTTGCTTCTGCACGACGATCAGTTCTTCAGTTTCCATGGGGACGTTCCCACCAGCACCCAAACTCCTCTAAAGTAAGCCCAGAAGCCTTACGCGGCTCTTGTCCCTCTGGACCTCCTGACGGGAGACCTGCACTGAGATGTCGTCTCACTCTCTCCGCTGCCTCCCCCATCCTCCCCGACCCCCTCTGGTCAAAGCAGGTTGGAAGCCTACATTCCATGAAGCCACTTTGTCAAGGTCACCAACAACCTTCACCTTAACAAATGCAGCGGGAAGTTTCCTTCTGCGTGAACAGCATCTCTCAGCAAAGTTGAACAGAGTTCTCCTTTCCTTGAGAAGCAGTTTCCCATTTGACTCATAGGACACGATCTCATGTCTGCCATTCTCCCAGGGGTTCCCTGGCCACTCTTTCTTCTTTAGTGACTTTCTATACTAATGTCTTATTGCTGCTGTAAAAAATAACCACAAACACAGTGGCTGAGAACCACATGAATTTGTTATTTTACAGTTCTGTAGGTTAGATCTCTCTGAGCCAAAACCAAGGAGCTGGCAGGGCTGTGTCCCTTCTGGTGGCTCGAGGGGACAGGTCCTTTTCTTGCCTTTTCCAGCCTCTACAGGCACCTGCGGTCCTTGACTCCTGCCACCTCCTCGAGCAACAACCTCTTCTGCTTCTTCCGCCTCCCTCTTACAGGGACCCTTGTCACTCTATTAATATTCAGCCCATCCAGACAATGGGGATAATCTCTCCCACCTCGGCACCCTTACTTTAACCACATCTGCAAAGCCCCTTTTCTCACGTAAAATAAGATATTCTCAGGCTCTTGGGATGGGGACATGGACCTCTTTTAGTGGCTGTTATTCAGCCGGATCACACTCCTTCTCCCCAGCCCCAAACCTGGTTTTTGGTCCACTTTGATTCTCTTCCTGCACCCTTCAGGAAGAGCTCCCCCAAGGACCATGGTTTTAAACGCCATCTTAGAGCTGGTGGCTTCCAGATTTATATCTCCGGTCCTGACCTCACCTCTGAGCTACAGGTTTCATCCATATCCTATACGTTTATGTTGTCTATACACAACAACTCACTTGGATGTTTAATAATGATCTCAAATTTAAAACAGCTGCCTAACACTCATTGTCCCCTCCAGACCTGTTCATCTGCATCCTTCCTTTTGTTGTCGATGGCTCCACCATCTACCTTGTCACCTAAGGCAAAAACTCAGGAGTCATTTTATGTTGTTATTATTTGTTTTACACACTGTCCACATCTAATGCATTAGCTACTCTCTCGACTGCCTCCACTCTATCCCAAATGTCCTCCTTTCTGCCTGGGCTGATGGAGCAGCTTCTCTGCCAGCCAGCCTCTCTGCCCCCACTCTTCCCCTCTGGGGTCTGTCTTCCACCCAAGACTGAATTTTAGTCACTGTTTTTACTACCAACTACTTCAAATAGTCCCCAAATGTAAAGAACAATAAAATGAGCATCCAGGTATTTATGACCCTGACTTAACATTCTGTTTCATATCGTTATCTTTCAAGCAAAAAATCCTCCCATGTTTGTGGAGTCTCTTATTTACCCTTTTTAAAATCCTTAATTAGTTTAATCTTTTATCCCAGGCCTCGTTCTACTTCTCACTCTCCTTCCCTACCTGATTTCATATTTCCCCATGTGTAGGTGCTTATAAAGGGTGGGTGGCATCGTGTGATGTGTTTTTATACTTTACATACTTTTTTTCTTATTTTAAGAATTTTAATTATAGGAAAAAGCAAACACACATAAAAACGGAGAGATAATGAAATGAATTCACATGTTCTTATCACCAGCCCAACAATGATTAACCTTTTTCCAACTGTGTTCCATCTACCCCGTTTGTTCCTTTCTTACATAAATGTTTTATATTCTGTTTCTGTCACTTAATTTTTTTTAGCACCATATTTGAAATACATCATGTTGAGGTACATAGATTTGATTCATTCATTTTAATAACTGTGTAAGTATGTCATTATATAAACATAGCACATCGCAGTTAGGGATGTTCACATTGTTAGGCATTTAGTGGTAAAATTCTGCTAGTGAAACACTACCTTGGTGAACATCTTTGTGCACAAGTATGAGAAACAGTATAAAAATCTGAAATTTTAATGTAGCTAAGTTTATCAATCTTTTTCTAAAATGTTAGTGCTGTCATAACTTGTTTAAGACAACTCTTCCCAATTCCATGAAGACATTCAATTAAATCTTCTTCTAAAACTTTGCTTTCTAAATTGAGGCCTAATCATTCTGGAATGCGTGTATGCGTGTCTCTGTGTGTGTTAGATATGGCTAGTCAATTGTTCCATCACCATTTAATGAATATTCTCGCCTTTATCTACTGAATTTTAATGCTACTTCTGTAGAGCACCATGTTTTTAGAAGACGTGTTACAGTAGCAGTTGTAGAGGCAAACCGCCTCGGTCCAAAGTCTGGCTCTGTCACTTAAGAAGTGTGGCATCTTTGACTGGTTATACAACCTCTCTGAATTTCTGCCCCAGTTCCCTTAATCTGCAGAAAGGAGATAATGATTACATGAGCAATATTGCACTTCGATTCCTTCGTGCAGAACCTGGCATACGATACTCAATGAATGTTAATTATCCTACTTAAATTATATGTTTTATTTTATATGAGTCTCTTTCTGGGCTCTCCTTTTTGTATCACTGGCTTATTAGACCATACCTGTGTCAATGACAAGCAATTTATAAGTGCTAGAGCTTTATGGTAATCTTGATAACTGAGATTGCAAATACTGCTATTTGTCTGCTTGTCAGGTTCTGAGAAAAACAATACGGAGATTGCGATTGCAATAGTATTGAATAGATTAATTTGAGAGAATTGTCATATATTATTGAGTATTTACACATGCAAACATAATATATTTCTCAACTTACTTTGGTCTTCATGTTTTAGAAAAATGCTCTATGTTGTTACTGATAAACATCTTACACATCTTTTTTTAGATTATTTCTAGACACCTTATATTTTGTTGTTACTGAAGAAGGCAGTAATTTGATTTTAATTTAAAAACATTGTGCTAGTTATGACTTCTATTGGCTTTAAAAATGGGCTTTGTATTCCAGCAATTTCATATCTAATAATTTATTTGTAGTTTTCCAGAATTTTTTCTAAAATTTTGTCTATTGCTTTCCACTCATTGTTTTTTAAATACAGAACTGTATAGTAAAAATGGTTAAAATTTATAGAGTGTTTTTTAAATGCTAGATACTCTTCTCAGAACTTTGCGTGTATTAACTCTTTTCATCGTTGTGACAATTTACCTCTATGAGGTAAATTATATTATCATTCCTATTTTATTGGTAGGGGTAAAGAAAAATATTCTGGTACTTGTTAAAACAGCAAGGAAGCCTTTGTTCAGGGCTATGAAAGACTAAGGTGGTGGGGAGAGATATCTGGCTCAGCTCTGAACAGCAAAGGCAAATGGGGATTTGTTTTTACATTTTGATATATTTAGTGGGTACAAGTGCAAGTTTGTTACATGTATGTATTGCATAGGAGTGAGGTCTGGGCTTTTAGTGTACCCATCACCAAAATAGCATACATTTTACCCAATAAGTAATTCTCCATTCTTTACCCCTTGTACTCTTCCACCTTCAGAGTCTTCATTGTCAAATATCCTACTCTGTGTGACCACCTGTGCCCATAGTTTAGCTCCACTTATAAATGAGAACATGCTGCATTTGATTTTATGTTCCCAAGGAAATTCTTGTACATTGCTAAGTTTTTTATCCTTGATCATAAAGGAATTTGGAAATTTATTAAATACTTTTTCCGTGTCAATTGAGCTAATGACTTTCTTTCCCTATGTCTGTTAATGTGGTGAATCACACTGATAGATCTTCTGATATTGAACCATCCTTGTATGCCTATGAGAGATCATAATGAGTCAACATGGAAATAAATTTATTATAAGCCTTAAATATCTTAATTTAGTTTTGATTTTTTAAAACATAGTTCAATTTTTTTTTGCTTTTTCTTCCTCTGACAGAATGCTTGAGAAGCTGTTGACCAAGTATTTGTGTGAATGCAAAGCACTAAGTTGTCATTATCCATTGCTTAGAAAGAAAGATAAGAAAGGAAGTCATCGATTATTCACACCTTAAAGTTAACATGACATTTAGGTTACTCTATGTTGATTTTGTATTTTATTATCATAAAGCAGAGCAAAGGACAAAGGGCTTTTCTCTAATGTTTAAAGATTTGTTGGCTTAGTTCCAATGTCTATTGACCATGGTGTGGAAACTATTACTATAAAAAGGTGCTCTCACCGTTTCTTTCTTTTATGGACGTTGTGCAAGCACAGTGGATTTGCAGATCCTGGTCACATAAAAATAGGCTGGAGGGACCCATTGCTGTGTCACTGTAATAAAAGGTCAGAGTCCTACAATTTGGGGTTTGGAAGACCTGGATTGGAGACATCTCTGTGCTGCAACCACTGACTGTGTGTAGCACAGTGATTGGCCAAAGTGAGGGTGACAACACCACCATGCGGCATGTCACTGGGGTGAAATGAGATCAGGAGCTAACATCCCTCCGAAGCCCTCTCCACATGGGCTCTGTCGCCCTGCCCTTGGATGCCTCAGCACCAGGGAGGACAGTGAGCAGCAGCGTGACGGCTGAAGGTCAGTTAGGCAGATAGGGGCTCTCCCAGCACATTCCCGCAGTGACTTCTCGCTGTGACTCTCCCTCTGCAGAATCTCTGCCCCCGAGCAGGCAGGGCACTGAGCCACAGGGTGCACTCATTTTGCAGAGAGGGTCCTGAGAGCAAAGTCCTAGCCAGACCACACTTGCTCTTCTGGTCAGAGTCAAACCTTGTGCTGGGATGATCCGTTTTCTACACTCTATAATCATCTTTCCCTTTTCTCCTTGTTTTCCTTTTTCTTTCCCTCCAAAGCCCAGCTGCTGGTGCCACTGTGGCAAGTGTCTTCCAAATGCCAGAGGGGCCACCTTCGAGCTTCCCGCCTGTGGGAGACCCAACCTTCCTGGGGTCCAATTCCTGTCATTCTGACAATGTCCTGCTCTCACTGGGCAGCTGGGATTCCTCCAAAGTGGCTCAGCTACGTGAATGTCCGTGTTCCGGTTTTGTTTGTTCAAAGGGAAAAAAACGTTACAAGGAAACTCACTTTTGAGTTGCCAGTCACAACGAGGCAGAGTCTAGAGGCACTTGACACAGCGAGCACTTCACCCCCAGGCCACGCTGAGAGGCGCTGGGGCCCTCTTGATCCCTATTTTCCAGTGGCTGAAGCAACGTCCCAGGACGCTGCTGTGATAGGAGGTTAGCCTGGCACCTGGGAGCTTCCTCCCCGTTGTTTTTCTTGTGCTTCTTTCTATTACCTATTAATGTGCTTTGATGGGGATGCTTGTCTTACTGTTTGTGTACGTCATAAATCTGAAGGCAAGAAATGCAGAAACAGAAGGGCGTGTGTCTTTGCAAGTGTGTTCGGAGGCAGACCAAATGGTGCATTGCTTTTCCGATGCTCCCTCTTCTCTTTCTGATTTTCAGTCCAGGACTTTCAGCATAAAAATGGGATGGCTTCCTTGTGTGCAGGAGCGGGGGGCTGCTTGGGGGGCTCCCCCGTGGGCTGGTTCCATGAGCACAAAGCCGACACCCAGGCTGGGGTGTACTGACTCATTCGTCATTGAGGAGTTTACTCCTTGCCACCAAAGAATTATGCAATGCAGGTTTAATTAAAGCGAAAACTTAAAGTTGATGTTAACCCAATGGTATGGCCAACTTTCGATTATCCACAATGCTGAAAGAGGGGTTGGCATGGATGATACGAATGAATGAATGGTCTGGACTTTTTCCTTCAATCCATCAGGATCACAGCTCTAATTTTGCTATAGGTGCTAATGTTGAAATGATCATGAAAGTCAATTTTGGGGGAGTGGGGCAGGAACATGTGGTAGGAAGGTCGTGGTGAGCTAAGGGCTGAGTCAGGTGCTTTTAGCAGGTTAGCTTTTTGAAATGTCATAACTTCCTGTGAGGAAGGTGTTACTGGCCACAGATAATAGATGACAGAGCAGAGGCAGCATTGAAACAGCCTGTCCAAGGCCACCTACTAGAAATCAGTAGAATAAGCGATTTTATCCATCTCAGTCTAACCGGTGTTGAGCAGAGGGAAAAAATATTTGAATGCAAACCTGAACTGCTGTGTGTTGTCCTTAAGAGAAGAGTATAAATTTCTCTCTGCCGTAATTGCTGTTTTCTTTTTAAGCAAAATTCTTGCTTGGCCTAAAAGGCATCTTTGGGAAGAAAACAATAGACAGGTAAGAGCACACTACTTCGCACACAACAGAAAGGACAATGGAGGGTGGGGTGGGCAGAGAGGCCTGCAGAGCTGAGGAAACATCTTTTGTTACAGGGCCCATAGGACATTTGAGAACAAGGATGTCTAAAAAGTCAGTGTTGGTGTCACCTGCAGTGAAGTCCTCCGAGGTGACAACCCCCCTACTCCGCATCTAGGGCCGAGCCCTGGGGCAGGACACGGGGCCATGTCTGTATCGGACGACCCTATTCCTCCGGCCAAGGCTGATCCAACCTGGCCTTAGCTGGGGTAACCAGACACCCCTCTCCGGGGAGCTGAGACTCGGAGTAAAGAGAGACTGTGACGGGGAGTGGTGGCACCGGGTCACCCTCATCCCAGGCCCGGCTTCTGTCTGTGCATCGCTGGGAGCAGGGCCACAGCAGAGAGAATAACATCCGACTCTTCCTGTTCTTGAACTAGCCTGGGCTCCTGTATTTTTCATCCGGGGAATATTTATGGGATGCTTCCTAGGTGCTGGTGGCCGTGCTAGATCCCGGGGAGATTTAGCCTTTACTCTCATGGGACTTACTGTAGGGTGAAGAGGATGGGTTCCCATCGAGAAACGACTGAAATAAATGTAAAGCTGTGGCTGTGACCAGGGTGTGACAGGCAGGGAGTGCAGTGCCAGGACACAGTGTACAAAGGGGAGCTAACCCAGGGAGGGAGGCCGGGGAGGGGCCCCGGGGAAGGGGCTGTTGGCCCGAGGTCTGAGGCTGAGGAGAAGCCCGCTGGGGGTGCGGGCCCGGTGGGGCGCTCTGCGTAGGGAGCAGCGTGTGCACGGCTCCCTGTGAGAAGCCACATGGCGTGTCACGAGAGCTGGCAGCGGGCCAGCCTGCCTGCAGCCCAGACAGTCAGGGGGTGGGGGGAGATGGGAATGGGGTAGGGGGAGGCAGGTAGGGTCGGATTAGGGACTTTGTTGTTGTACTTTCCCTTAAGAGAAACGAGGAGCCACAGGAGTAACATAAGCAGAAGGGCTAGGTAGGACTAGGAAGAAGTAAGTTAACTAGATATCTAGGGTGGTATTTGCAATTTGGAGAGAAAGATGAATGTGGGGGCCAAGTCACAAACCTTTTAAAAAAAGATCAGGGCAAACTGCACGGGTGCAAAACCCAAACCTCTCACCTGGAGACTGATTGCCATAAACACACTTCAGAAGGGGACTGAAGATAAAACCCAAAGAGCTGCCTAAAAGGCACCCGGATGGTGTTCAGTGAGAGAGAGCGTTCTCAGCGTTAGCAAAGTCACAGCTATGGTGGGCTCATTATTCTTTTTTAAGTAAAGTGGGAAGAAATGTTGTTTTGCCAGGCGATCTGCAACTTCATTTCTCTAAGCAAAAGTCAAGGTTTGGTAATCGCTTCTAGAGGATGATTTGTGGCTTAGCTCAGGAGAGTCACATGGTGCCCTTGGCCCTGGCATTGCACTCTCTGCTGCAGCCACCTCCATTTACTGATTCCATTAGGAGATAGGAGGGACAAAGATAGCTTCTAATACTCGGGAGAAATGTAAAACCATTAGTAGGCCATTGTCGAAGTCAGAACATGCCCTGCTAAGCTTCTTAGGAATCCAGTGGCAGCCAATGATACCAGGATTAACCTGTGTGAGTGTGAGGTGTGTGTGTGTGTGTGTGTGCGCGTGTGTGTGTATGCAGGTAGGCCTGTGTGTGCACAGGTCATGTGCAAGTCTGCCATGCGAAACCTACCTGCAATGAGCTCTGTCAGTGGAGTGATGAATGCACAGATTGTTGACAAACGCTATTACTTCTTTCTTGCCTTTCTGTTTTCTGTCTTTATAGACGGTTTTGAGGCTCCAGTTCCGAGACGGTTTTGAGGCTCCAGTTCCGAACTGACCCTGGGGCCGTACTTAGGAGGGCAGGGGAGAGGAGAAGGCTGTCTGGGCTTGGTTCTGCTAACTAGCTGGGTGGAAAGGCTCCATTGGATGTGATGGTTACCTTTATGCGCCACCCTGACTGGGCGAAGGGTTGCTCGGGTAGCTGTTAAACATATTGCTGGGCCTGTCTGGGAGGATTATCTCTGGAAAAACCAGCACTTGGATCGGTAGACTGAGTAAAGATGATCTGCCCTCGCCAACATGGGTAGCATCATGCCATCTACTGAGGGCCTGGAGGAAGGGAGAATTCTCTTCTCTCTGTCTGAGCTGTGCCACTCATCTTTCCCTGCCCTCTTATGTAGGTGCCCCCGGTTCTTGGGCATTCAGGCTCAGGCTGAGGTGTACCATCAGCTTGAATCACGGGACTTCTCAGCCTCCACAGTCCTGGGAGCCAGCCCTTGTGATATATTACTTATCTATTTATACATAGCCTATTGCTGCTGTTTGTCTGGAGATCCCAACTAATACGTGGATGGCTACCGCTGTTCCCATGTGGCCTGCCTGGTGGCCAGTGTGTAGCACGGTGGCACGTGATGTGGCACCGGCCAGGCGGCTTCTCCTAAAGCTGGAGAAGTAATCAGAGGGTCGGTTTCTTCTGACCTTGGCCTCCTGGGACAAGACAGGGGAGGGGCTGGCTCACTGGCAGAGGGGACTGCCACTGTCTAGTCTTGAGATGATTTGTTAAACAAAACTGAAGGTTTTTTTTTAACACCCAAGGTGATTGGTGATCGTGGGAGCTTAGAGAGCAGGAAGAGAATTCACCTACATGCATGTTGTTCTTGTTTGTTCCGTTTGGTGTTGGCAGGGGGACAATTGGCCAATACCTGGTACGGATGTTTCAGACCACGGGGTTGAGGGATTTTCAATAATTCTTTGAGATTGTTTGAATTGTTAGAAGAATTGTATGGAGGAGGTGTCACGCTCAGGGGAAGGTGAGCCACTGGCTGTGTCCCCAAGGGCAGAGAGGGAAGAAATGGAGGGGACAGCTGGGGCGTCCTGGGTGGGGGCTGCCGGCCAGGCCCCTGCTCACCAAAGTGATGCTGGCTGAACACAGGGCTGAGATCATGAGCTTTCTGAAGACCTGCCTTTCTTGAGGGTGTGATTTGATGAAATAGGATGATTTTAATTATTCAGCTAGACATTCCTTTACTGCATTTTTAAAATTGTGAACTTTAGAGTTGAACTAATGAAACCTAAGAGTAAACCTCTACCTGTAGCAGCACTAAAAGTCAACATTGATACTAAAACCTGTGGTTTCTAACTCTGACTATAACCATGTGGCTTTTAATAACTATCAGTATCAGCAGTTGCCTGCCTGTGAGTAAGGAATAATAACCCCAAGCCTGTTTCTCTTATATGTGGCTTGTGAGGATAAAGAGATAATGTACATATATAAAATGCACCAAAAAAATCTTAAACCCAGCACCAGCCTAGGCTGAGAGATTTATTAGGCACATAATAAATCTGTAATCCTAGCACTTTGGGAGGCCGAGGCAGGAGGATTGCTTGAGCTCAGGAGTTCGAGACCAGCCTGAGCAAGAGCGAGACTCTGTCTCTACTATAAATAGAAAGAAATTATCCAAACAACTAAAAATAGAAAAAATTATCTGGGCGTGGTGGTGTATGCCTTTAGTCCCAGCTACTTGGGAGGCTGAGGCAGGAGGATCGCTTGAGCCCGGGAGTTTAAGGTTGCTGTGAGCTAGGCTGACGCCACAGCACTCTAGTCTGGGCAACAGAATGAGACTCGGTGAAATAAAAAAAAAAAAAAAAAGAGTAGTATATAGAGGTCTAGAAGCCTCATTTGTCTATTTTATTTTAGTTTTTGCATTATGAATATTTTGCTTGTGAGTCTTAGTAAATAAGTGACTTCGTAGGTAAATTGAGAGCAAGAATCAAATTTTATGTAAAAACTTGAAAGCACTTTCTAAGAATACTCTAAGACTGTGATAGTCTTCAGTTTATGATGATCCACTGGCATGGGGTGTCCAGATGAAACACAGGATGTCCGGTGACATTTGACTTTCAGATCAACAACAAAAATCTGCTAGTGTAAGTATATCCAATGCAATATTTGAGACATATTTATGCCAAGAAAAAACTATTTTTTTTTGATGTGAAATCCAAATGTAACTGGCATCTTGCATTTTACTTGCCAAATCCGGGCCCCTGTACTACAGGTGTAGGTTTACAGCTGACATCTGAGAGGGGAAGCTCATTCCCACCTAAATTGCTTTTTTGTCTTTTTAAACAAAAATAGGAATCACTGAATTAATACTGGCACATTAGGTAGTTTCTTCACACCTTTCTTCCTCTGTAAAATGGAGAGAAGGTTACCTCAGTGGTTCCCAGACTTGGCTGCAAATTATTCTCACCCGTGGACCATCCACCACACGGACTGCCCTATTCACCTGAGTGCCGTGACATTGGCCAGGGTTTGGAGCGGAACCAGGCAGCTGCAGTTTAAATCTCCTCCAGGTGATTCCAGGGCTAGCAAGGCTGAGAACTGGGGTCTCTCAGTGACGCTGGCGGGGGGGTGGGGAGGCGGTTTGGTGACGCAGCATCTGTTAAGCACTTCGCACAGAGCCGGCAGGTAATTAGGATGCAACGAGTGGTCCGTGCAGGAGGAGCCGGCAGGGTGGCAGGCTGAGCACATCCCATGCAGGGAGTCCCAGGGGCCCTGCATGGATCCATGTGGCGGGAGCACGGTGCTGGGGCATGGTGTTGCAAGAACTAGGAAGGGTGGGCAGAGGCCAGAGCACAGAGGCGGGGAGCTCGCACTTCATCTTGTAGGTGACAGGGAGCCGTCGGACAGGGCTACACGCTGGAAGGCAGGAGTTTGGAAGGGGAAGCCCAGGCGGGGACATCTCCTTACATTTGTGCAGGTGCCCTACGTCTCACGGGCAATCCTGGTGCTGTGGGAGCAACGGGATGTGAAGTCCACAGAGTAGAGGGACCTCGTCTTGCTCAGTGATGCACCCTCAGTGCCAGAACCATATCCAGCGCATGATAGGGACTTAGAGGGTATCCACTGGAAGAACAAGTGAAGGGAAAAAGCCAAAACCAAGGGCAGGCTCAGCAGAGGCAGTGTGGCACCTCTGGCTAACACCGACACGAAAGCCGAATTCGGCACCCAGCCCTGCACCGACCTGTTGGTGCCTCCTTCCCTCCCACACTCCCCTGGAAAAACCTTGTCCCCTTCTTGGCTCCCGTTTCTGTCTCTTGAATTGAGGGTTGGCTCTCAAGTCATTCTAAGTGAAGAGAATTTAATTCTCAGCTCGAAAGGCAACTGGGAATTAAATTCTCCTGATCCCTAACGAGTTAGTGACCTTCCTGCTGACACTGTGGTCCTTGTGGAAACTCCCTCTGAAAGTATCTGCGTTTCTGTTGAGTTCTAGAAGCCAGGTCCCCGGAATGCAGAGGGCAGCAGCTCACCTGGGCTGCAGGGGAGACCCGGCCCCCCAGAAAACCAGCGAGTCTGTGAGCCGGGCAACGTGTCACCGGCAGTGGTCCAACCAGGTCACCCAAAGTCATTTTGGGGTTGTAGGTGCCAGGGCTGTGCCAGTAGCTGGGACATATTTCCACGCAGGGAAAGGGCCCTGGCCGGGTGTGGAGCCTGGCTGCTGGTCTCAGCTGCTGCGGCTTCAGCTCCGTGGCTCTGGGCAAGCCTTTTAATCTGTTTGCATTTTAGTTTCCTTAGTTGTAAAACGAGAAATTTATATTAAGTTAACTCTACAGACCGTTTTCGGCTTTAAACTCCTATGATTTTGTAGTGTGCTCTGGGGTTTCTTTTATCTTTATCTTCAAGAGCCTTTGTTTCTAAAAGATCCAGCCCTCGATGACACCTTTTCCTTCCCCTGTGCTTTCAGCCCACGAGAGAATCTAAGAGCTGACTCTGCACCTCCGGGTGCTGCTGAGCCTCCTGCACAGAAAGAAGAGAAAGCTGGGTAGTTTTTTTTTTTTTTTCTCCTTTTTCTTCTTCGTTAACAGATATTTTTAGCTTTTCTAAAAGCTTCTCACTCTGGGCCTTAAAAAGAAGTTAAGAACCTGTTCCAAAAATGCAAATTCTCTGGCAAGAAGCAAGAGGGGTGTTTTCAATCTTCCCGAACAATTGTTTTCTCTCCACTGACACTCGTGGTGTACGGGTGCACAGCTGGGCTGCAGGGGCGGCAGGAGGGTGTTGGTGCCACTGCAGGGAGGCCAAGGTCAGTGGGAGCCTGTCCCCAGGGGCTGCCGGGCGGGGCCTGTGTGCCGGGGACCAGCTTTCCTGGATTAGGCATTTGCTCAAATTGGTCCTGAACATGCCGGGGTGGGATCCCGGGTTGCCACCCATGGTTCAGGATGTTGGGGGTCCGACAGAGCCCTGAGATGAGCCGAGGGGTCCCTCTCCCCGGCCAGGCCCGGCCTCCTGCAGCCTTTGCAAATCTGAAGGTGCTCTCAGTGGCCCAGGGATGGGCAGATCCAGCCCTGGCCCCAGCAGTGAAATGAAAGTGAGTGCAAACTGCAGCTCTAGTCGGCTTAGTTTTCCGAAAAGTGTCACTTTGAGATTATATCCCCCAGCTCGAGAGTGTCCTTATCTGGAGCCCACCCTGCTCCACCATCCATTGGGTCCTGGCAGTCACTTCCTCCTCTCTGCTCCTGGGGAATGGCGTGCACATCAGGGAAGAATGCCATGGAAGAAGGAAAGGTGAGTTGCATTCATGTCTGCTTCCCAGGGGGGTGGGAAATCGGGGGAGAAGTGCCCAGTGTGGCAGTCACCTCTCTGGGCACCTTGCACATTATGACTTCTTATAGCAACATGTGGTCACTTCTAATTCACATGTTTCATTTCCTGGCACCAGGTCCTAGTAGATGCTCGCCGTTGAGCTGTCGAATCTAAGACTTTTCATTTGAGTCTTTCAGAACTAATTCAAAGTTGCTTATGTTTTGAAATAAGGATTTGGTCCCAAATCTCACTGGAAAACAACATGATTCGTTCGGTTCTGTTTAAGTCAGATTCAGGGAGCCCTGTGAATGAAGCCTCTTAAAGGGGACCTTTGACATGCTTGGGCTTGCAGTCGTTTTGCAGGAAGTGATTCTATTGCCTTACTAATCTGAAAATGAAAGACACCACCCTCCTTCCCTTCACACTCACTCCTGTTTCTCAAACGTTAGTGGTAGAGGTGGGAACTATCTGCGGGTGTCGGGTTGGGGGGTGCAAAGCAATGTGGCCACTTTCATATGGCTGAACCTCTCTCCTTGCTGTGAGCATAGCTCAGCCTCCCCGTAACTGAAAGCAGACAATGATCCTATAATAGTTCTTAAATTGAGGCTTTAGGAGACAGCTTTATCTATGCGCAGTTGTTTCTAAATGTTATGAATAAAGCCAATCGGGATGTATAATTCTTACGCTCACTATATAAAAGTGTGAAGTGTCTGAATTGCAAACAGTCTGTAGGACTGCAGAGAAGTGGTAGAAGGTCTGATATTACTTACTAATGACAGTGTCTGCTGTTTCTGGAGTTTTGTTTTGGTGGGGTGGCAAGAACCCTAAAATGGTTATGCTTATTTGCAATCTGATTGTGTGACAGATACTAAGTTAGTTACTTTACCTGCATTTTCATAATTATATTGGAAAGTAGATATTCTTATTCCCACTTTCTAGATGAAGAATCTGAGACTCAGAGAAATCGAGGGGTGTTCTGGGCCTGGTCCTCAGGTCCTCCTGAGTGCAGATCAAATTTGAAGGAATGAGGACTTGCTTCTTAACAAATGAGCAAGTAGTTTCTTGAGACGGACGCTGCTCTTGGTGAAGATGCTGTGAACATTGTTGAAAGGCAACTAAGGATTTCATAATACAACATAAACTCGGTTGATAAGGCAGCAGCAGGGTTTGAGAGGATTGACTCCATTGTTGAAAGTTCTGCTGGGGATAAAATGCTTTCAAACAGCGTCATGTGCTAAAGAGGAATCTTTCGTGAAAGGAAGAGTCAATTGAGGTGGCAAACTTCACCGTTATCTTATACTAAGAAATTGCCACAGCCTTCAGAACCTCCACCCTGAGCAGTCAGAAGCCGTCAACATTAGGGCAAGACCTTCCACCAGCAAAAGGATTAGGACTCACTGAATTATCACTCAGATGATCATTAGTATTCTTATCAATAAAGTATGTTAAAGTAAGGTATTTTTTTTTTATTTTATTTTATTTTTTTTTGAGACAGAGTCTCACTTTGTTGCCCAGGCTAGAGTGAGTGCCATGGCGTCAGCCTAGCTCACAGCAACCTCAAACTCCTGGGCTCAAACGATCCTCCTGCCTCAGCCTCCCAAGTAGCTGGGACTACAGGCATATGCCACCATGCCCGGCTAGTTTTTTTTTTTTATATATTAGCTGGCCAATTAATTTCTTTCTATTTTTAGTAGAGACGGGGTCTCGCTCAGGATGGTTTCGAACTCCCAACCTCGAGCAATCCACCCGCCTCGGCCTCCCAGAGTGCTAGGATTACAGGCGTGAGCCACCGCGCCCGGCCAAAAGTAAGGTATTAATATATGCATTTTTAAAGACATTGCTATTGCACACTTAATAGACTACAGTATAGTGCAAATATAACTTTTACATGTGTTGGGAAACCAAAAAGTTCATGTGACTGGGGTTATTGCTTTCTTTGCTTTGTTGCAGTGATCTGGAACTAAACCCCATTATCTCTGAGATGTGGCCATTATTTATGATGTGCTGCAGAAACGCTCAGTTATGTTATATTCCTTTAAATAGGGCTGCATTTTGCTCTGAGTATGGTTCAGTGGTAATGCCATGAATATCTGGTGACAGGCAAGATTGGAGTATGAGAAGAAAAGGGGAGTCAAGAGAGAATCTAAACTCTTAGCTTGAGCAGCTGGAAGACAAGTTTCCTTTAACTCAAAGGACTTTAAGTGGAGCAAGTAGAGGGGTGGAAGATCAGGCCTTAAGTTTGGATAAATTATATTTGAAATTTTTTTTTTAAAGATATCCAAGCAGGTATATTTGGAGAACAGGTGTATATATATCTAGAGTTTCCCAGAGAGGCTCAGAGTGGAGACACAGAATTTTAGAATCCTTAGCCAGTGAGACTGACGAGATAGATTGAGGGGAGATATATTCTAAGGACTGAACCTGGGGTGCCCCAACATGAAGGGTTTGGGGAAAAGATTTAAGGTCAGCAGAAGACACTGGACAGGAGCACCCAGAGAGACAGGAAGAAAACCAGGGGCGTGGGGTGCCCTGGAAGGCAGGTGAGCAAAGGTTTCCAGGAATAAGAGATTACAATGCCAAATGCTGCTTCTGTGACTTTCTTCTATGGCAGTTACCGGTGACCCGACAGGAGCAATTGCAGTAACGGGAAGGAGGCGACAGTCTGGAGGTTTAGGAGAGGATGGGAGTTGGAGGATCGAAGCGCTTTGTGCAGATACTGTCTCAGGAGACTTGCGAGAAAGGGAAACAGAGGAAGGGGTGCTGGCTGGAGGCGGGTGTGAGGTCAAGAGGGTACTTTATAGGGGCAAGAGAAATGATATCATGTTCAGGGTGGGTGTGAAGATCTAGCACAGATGGAAAATTAACCACGTTGGGGGAGGGGGTTGTTGGAATTGTGTCCTCGGGTAGGTGAGGTCCTCTCAGCATTTCGGGTTCTCCGTTTTCTCTACTCCTTACGTTCTGCCAGCCGGTCCTGTTATCAGGTCTTGTTGATACAGTCTCTTGCTGCTCCAGACCAGACTCCATTCTCTCAGCGTCTTCTGATCGCCTTAGAGTCGGTACCAGAGAGTTAAGGGACTTGAGGATAGATGCCGGCCGGGGGGCTCCCAGGAACACCTCCCTCCCTGAGAAATCTGCTCAAACACGGCCTGAACCACAGGCCTAGGGTTATGTCCAGAGAGCCATGGGTTCATCAGGAGAGGTTCGAAAAATGTTAGGCCTTCCACTGGTTTCCTGAGAGAGCCTCGAGCCCCACTATTTACAACGCCGGAAACTGATGGCTCCAGAAAGGACGTGATGATGTGAACATCAACTGGGTCTCCTTGGTGAAGGGCTCGGCTTCTTGTTGGCTCTGGCCGAGCTCACTTCCCACCCTCTGTTCTCCACTCGGCCAGGCCACTTCCAGCCCCCGCCACTGATGAATCGTGTTTCATGGGTCCTCCTGACCCTGTTGACGTATCAGCCTGTCCGCTGGAGAAGAAGCTAGCAGGGAAGCCAGTTCATCTCTGAACAGCAGATAAAAAATCCATCCATACCAAACATGGATTGAGCCGTTTCTCCCTCGATTCTTTTGAGGCGTGATGGAGACAGATGTTGGAATCACCTGGGTGACACTTACAGCTTATTTCTGTCAGCAATGTCATCGTTAAATTGAGTAACTCTACGGAGAAGGAACCGTAAGAAGGAAGATGGTCACATCTGAACTATGTTTATTTCTTTTTTAAAATCGATTCTTCCGTAATGCCACTCAATAGTGTTCTAAATATTAACGTGTTTAGAACATGGATGTTGGCTAGCAGGAAAGAGAGACAGAATTGAGAGTAAATTAGCAGAATTGGAAATAGATTCAAAAGTGCCTGTTGGGCATTTGTTGAGTAGTCACTATGGACCAGAGACTTCCATGCGTTGCCCTCTTGGGTCCTCTCATGGTCCTAGGTAGTGAGGTGCTGTCTCCACTTCACAGGTAAGGATGCTGAACCTCATAAAGGTTGGGAACTTACTCCAGGCCATGAAATTAGTGTCAGACTCATGCTAAAAATCATCAGTCTGTTACCAAATCCCGGATTGTCCCACTATTGAAGAGAAATGCTCTAGTATTTCCAGCGACCCTTATTTCGATCAACTGGGCTCACCTTAGCTCAGCACCAGAGAAGCATCACCTGTTCCATTGTCCATGGCCTCAAGGAAAACAATTGTCATCGCGTCCAAGTGAACTAGATACACACCATACATTCAATAATCGTCCAGCCAGGTCACCATTAAATGCTGAATGCTTGGTCCCAGACAATAGATTCATGGAGCCCTCAAGTACTGAGGGGAAGCTCTGCCCAGGAGACTTGGTCTCTGCCTGTGATTCGGGTCTCCATCTGGACAAGTGGGTGATAGTGATGGGAAGTGATCCTTCTAAGTGGGAGTAAGACCAGGCTGCAGAGAGGAAGGGTGAAAATACAGCTTTTAGTCAACAAAAGCCACCCAAGATTTGTTCAGTGTGTGCTACATGCTAGCTGCTTGGAAGGCATGTGGGGTGTGTGCCCACAGCTCCGTGCCCCTACATTAGAATAGAACATCTTCGGCCAAGTCACACGGAAGCCAGCGGTAACCTGTGAAGTACTGTGAAGGTGACCTTCCTGTGACTGTTACCATCACAATAGGTTAAAGCCATATTACCGTGCCGCTGGGGGTTGCATTTTAGGCACAAGAAATTTAAGGGAATCAAACATTTTGTTTTCTTTTCTTTCTGATTATCCAGATAGATTTTTATCACTTTGAACAATTGTATAGTTCTTTGGTTCTTCATCACATCAGTCTATCAGTCAGTTATTTTTGAACAGAGGATCCTATATATGTATACTTGTTTATTTATAAACATATATGCTGTGTCATTGTGTTAACATATAATGCTTTAAAAACATATGCCAAAATAGAAATCTTAAACTATTGAGATATGTAGAAGCCCTAGAAGTTCCTTCCTGGACCTCAGTGAATCTCCTTGCATATTTTTGGAGAACACTGGCTGGCCCTAGACCTAGTGTGAAGACACCCCAAAATGGCAAACCTGCTGTGTCAGTATCCTAGGGCTGCCAGCCCAAAGTGCCACAAACTGGGTCGCTTAAATAACAGAAATTTATTGTCTCACAATGATGGAGTCTAGCAGCCAGAGATCAAGGTGCTGGCAGGGTTGGTTCTTTGGGAAGACCCTGGGGGAGCATGCATGCCTGTCCTCTAGCGTCTGGTGGTTTGCTGGCAATCTCTGGTGTTCCTCGACTTGGAAAAGCATGACCCCGATCTCTGCCTTCATCTTCGCACGGCGTTCTCCCCGGCTCTTTCCACACAGTTTTCCCCCTGTGCATCTCTGTTAGACAGGTTCCCTCCTTTTGCAAGGACACCGGTCATGTTGCAATAGGGACCACCCTAATGACCTTTACCTTAATTACCTCTGTAGAGGCCCTATTTCTAAATCAGGTCAAACTCCGAGGTTCTGAGGCTTAGGGCTCTAACCTCTTTTTTTGGGGGGAGGGACAAAATTCAAGCCATGACACCTGGGTTGTTTGCTTACAGTTTATTTTAAGCCGTGAAGGTGTGCACGAAGAAGTTGTATGCAGATCAGATATTTGCCATTAAGCGCCGTGGGGTGTCATTCATAAAAGTGCTAGCAGGGGCGTCATTTATATGTGGGCCTCCGTGAAGTCCCTCCAACTTTTTTTTTTTCCCCAGTGAAAATTAATTAGTTCTTCATCTGCCCTCCCACCCAAAGCTTCTTAAACTTTTTTTTTAGCTCGTATCATTATAATTCTGTCTTATATAGTGGTTGCCAGTGGCAGATCCTCTCCCCAAATTGAAAGCTTATCAGGAAAGAAATATTTTCCTTGACATGTTTGTTCACTTCCTTTCCTCACAACTCCACCTATTAAAGCCCAAACATTTTTCTTTTCCAGAATCTTCTTATGCATGCTAAATGATCAATAAGCACATCTTGAATTCAATTGATCTTTCTGTGACGCATAAGTTCCTTAGACATAGCTCATGGTACCTTCCTGTGTGAGCAGACAACTTCTCCCCTCCCCGGCTCTGCCTTCCTCACGGCTGTTAAAAGGAGAACTGCAAGCATTGTTGCTAGTACGTGTTCGGGCTCACAGAATTTTACTTCATTAAGCAGAACTTGGCTAACCTCTGGGGTGGAGACAAGTTTTCCCTGCAGAAAATTGCCTTGTTCATCCAGATGAGTCATGTCCTTCAGCGCTGGGCCTGGGAGTGGGCGTTCAAGGGCTTGTGGCCCAGCCTCCACCAACCACGGAATGTCCTTCTGCAAATGGCAGGGCTTGGGGGTGATGCAGAGACACCTGCGTTTCTCCACCAGCTTTGGAGGACGTTCTGTTTTCTGAGTGTCACACAGAGCTCCTGCTTATCTACTGTCCTGGCTGCAAGGCAGGGACAGAATGCATGATTAGAAGTAGTGCCTTGTTGCTGCTGTTATTTATTATTTACGTGGGCCTTATTAAATAGCTCTAGTTGTTGCTCTAGAACGGGTCATGATTTTCCAGTTTACCATTGGTTAACTATCTCCCTTTACCCAGGCGTTCAATCAAGGCTAGCAGGTGTCTGTTGCTGCATAGATTACCAAATGTTCAGCAAAAAAGATCAGTTTCTTTCCACCTAGTCTCCACTTTTGTATCACAGGTCAGCTGGATTCACCACTTCATTCTCTAAGATTTTGTCACTCCGAAGTTGTTGTTTTTTTTTCTTGAGAACAAGATCAAATCAGACCACGAGCTGTTCTGATAAGTGTAACTGGGGCATAGGAATTGCCTGTGCTTTTTAAACTCCACAGCGAAATAGTTTGTCCTGGAGAGTGGCCACGGAAAGTGCCCCTCCGTTCCGGACGAACCCGGCTATTCCGCGGTGCCGTGTGCGGGCAGGGCACCCGCGAGGGCAGCGTGAGGAAGCGCGAGGACTCTTTCAGTAACGTGGGCGTGAATGGCCTTGTTCTCCGAACCAAACTGTGGCCGACATATTTTTAAAACTATAAATAAACCTTGAAACAACCACGTGAAGATCTAGCCAAGTGCCTGACACACAGTAACCCACATTTATGGCACGTATTTTGTGCCAGAGACTTCACAATTCTCTCATGAAATCTTCACAGTGAGCCTTTTAGCTGTTTGGTACAGGAGGAGATGGAGGCACAGAGAAGTTAAGTAGCTTGCAGAAGGTCACACAGCTGGCCGATGGCAGGCCTAGGACCAGAAGGCAGGGATGATCAGATCTAGAACGCTCACCCTTCGTGCCGTCCAGTGCTCACGGGCTGGTAGTGTATTTTGTCTATTTCCGGAGGTCAGGAGGTTAGGAACGTGCGTGCCCATTTGGATTTTCCATGTGGATGGGTCCAGAGCAGACAGGGATCACCAGCCCGGGGCACGGCACACTGCTCAGCTCTGCGACGCACTAGCACACTTTACAAGAGTTGCTCCGCATGATGACATCATGGAAATATTCCATTTCCCTTCGACGAATGGCCTTTCATTAGTTGGAGAGAGCAGCTTACACACCAGTGATTCAGTACTGAAAAGCAGAATTGTTTGTTTTTGAGAAGGCTCACCACCCACCTGCATGTTCCCTTCCGCTAAACCCCCTGGCTCAGACTTCAAGACAGCGAGTTGCAGGGGATTAAACATAAGGCCCTTGTTAATCGCAAATTAATAGTGCCAGGAATGTATGCAGATGGCACCTGAAGTCAGTTGCTGACGGCATCAGATTCTGGTTATGTTTTTCTTTCCTGCAACGCAACTGTGCACCGAACGAGGGAAGACGGGTCTTAGGTTCTTGTTTAGCTCTGCGTTTCTGCAGCACGAAGTCCGTGTTCTTGGCTTACCAGTGTTCTCGTCTTACAAATTCAGGGGTTTTTGCTTTCATTTAGTCGTTAATTTTGACCGGTTCAAGCCTTGGGAAGTTGCAAGGCAAAAGCGGGAACCCGGGCCGGCAAGCCGGAAGGAATAAAAAACCCCTGCCTAACCAGGGAAAAATTTGGGGCCGGAAGTTGCCCCGTCCGGAACCAACAAACCGGAACCCCCCAGGGTGGGAAAAGCCCCGGGGGGGAGGTTGGGCCCCCAATGGCCCCCAAAATAAAATCAACCAAAGAATTTTTTTTTTCTTTCGAGGCTGACATTTCAGTAAATTTTTAAAAGGTTGCATGCCAACTGCCAGTGTCAATTAATTAAATGCAAAATCCAAATTTCTAGGAGAGAATAATCACTGGACCAAGCCAGATGACCAGGGCAGAAAGAAAATGTATTCCCGTCTTCCCAGACTGCAAGAGATGGAGAATGCTTGGGAACTCCGACCTAGAACGGATTCTACATTGGCCTCATTAACAGCTACTTGGAAAATAAATCTTGATCCAGGAGTTTGGCAAAACCGTGTGCTTCACATCGTAGGACAAGTGGCAGCGCCACTGGTGATACCCGAGAAACCCCCGTAAGGGGACTGGACCGCATCCCAGCCAGAGCTTCTGAAACGTCCGTCCGTCCTCCCCATGTCTGTGACTGTGTCCTAGGGCAGTGCCAGGTCAGCCCCGGGGCTGTCTAGCTACGCTGTCTAGCTTCAGATTCTCAGATCTGAAGGGGGCAACTGAAGTTTTCCACTGCAGTAACCCCTCTGTTTCCAGGGAAGCAGACATTCCTTCTTGGCTCCCCCGCGCTGGTGTTCGGCGAAGCCAGCCTGGGGATGGGCACCTGTGCAGGTAGCCGTGTGGGCCGGACCAAGGCCACCGTGGGAGCCTCGGGACCCAGAAGCCCACGGGAGGGCGGCATCCCGGGAGGGGAGCAGAGTCCTCAGCCAGGCCGGGGGCGACGCCGGTGCAGTCGGCAGCAGGCGGGGGTCTGGAGTCTGGGAGGCCTGGCTCCCGCTTGGCAGCGCGGACGGACCAATCCTCGAACACCTCTCACCAAGTTAAAAATGGAACCAGTCACGATCGCCCATGGGCGTTTGTCGTTTGTTGCTCTCCTGTAATTAAACGTGCTACTCAAGCTCTGAATAGTAGCAGGCACATGTTTACATTCTGGGCTTTCCTCCAGCCAGTGCCCCCCAGACTGCCCTTCCATGTGTCACCCCTCCAAGTTCCCTTTCCAACGTGTCTCATTTTGCTGTGGGGGTGTATCCTCCCCACCTCCTCCACGCCCTGGACAGCGTGTCCCCTCACCTCTCCCAGAGCTGACGGCCACGGTGGGAGTCTCAGCCCGGCTCCGGCCCGCAGGGAGGCACTTGTGGGCAGGGAGCCTCTGGCCGCCTTGCTCTGCTGCCCGGCCCTGTACCCGTAAGGAGAGTGAGGTCTCCTGCAGACCACTGGGAGCGAGTTGACTGGGGAAACGTGTGCTATTGTATACAGAGGGAAGTGTAGAAATGCAAGTTTAGATTTCAAACACCAAGTGTCAGTAATCAGCAATGAACTCCCAGAGGGGTCTCAGTTGCCTGGATCGCATCCTTCCTGCAGACCAACAGGTGAGCCTGTGGCCGTCAGAGACTAAGCCCAGCTCGTGGCCAGATTCTTCTGAAATGCTCAGGCCTTGGGGCTGCATGTTCGGTGGTCCATCAGGAACTGAGCAGGAGTCCGTCAGCAGAGCGGCACCGGCAGCCTCCGGGCTGCAGCTGGCTAGGCCCGGGCACCCCTGTGCTTTGTGGCCCCAGCGTGTACGTACGGCTGGTGCTGGGGCAACGCGAGCTGCACCTCGGTCAGCTCCATTCCCACCTGGGTTCTTGTTACCCTGCTTCTCCCCCCAGGTGTCCAGCCAGTGCTCGGGGCTGACGGAGCAAAGACGTGCTGTCATCCGTGGGTGGGCGTGTGGCTCAGAAATAAAGAGTAGGAGCCAGGATCAGGGACAATTCCCACCTGGACTACGGTGAGCTCAGCAAACGCAGTGACAAATCCTTAGTGTGCACTAAAGTTCAGTTGCGTTCTTTGCTGCCCTGCAACACTCAGATTCAACTTGAAAGGGGTTTTCTCACTGTGGGGACAAAAAAGTGCCACTGGGGGGAAGAGTCATCTCACTGGCAAATGCACAGATAAGGGTCTCCCCTGCCGACACGATGCCCGGCACGGGTAAAAATTCAATCTCTTTATCAAAGCAAAGACATTTTCCCTAAACTGGGGAAGTAATGTAAGTTGGCATGCAGGAGCAGTTTCTCCTTTTCAATGAGGTCTTTCAAGTTTGAGGTCTAAAACTAAAATTGAAACTGTCACTTATTTGTAAATGGCAACCCTGTTCTCCCTTAGATTATACCGCATTTATTACATTTTATGAGAATGGATAAAGATGGCCAAGGAATAAAAGTTATGCTCATAGTAGCAGAGTGAACGACGGGGCTATTTCTAAAAAGCATTTTCAGCATGTTAATTGTTGCTTAGATAACAGTCCTATCTCTCCGGGGCCTCTGTTTGGGTTTGACACCAGAGCTGGCAAATTACCGCAGTCATTATGGCTGGGAGCTGTGTCATCCACCAGTTCATTATTGTTCAAATCAAACCCAGACTTTTCCAGATCTCCCCGGGGTCGTGAACTAGATAGGAAGTTTTATCATTCTGCAAAGTGATCTCCTGTGGTTCTCTCTCCTCTGCGCTACGGGAAACAGCCCATCGCGTGACATTAATTTTCATATTAATAGGTTCTGTGCTGAAGAGCCGGTGGAGGCTCCATCCTTCTCCTTCTACCCTGCCACCCTCCTCTTCCTCTCGGCCAACTGCCAGGGAGCTGGAATAGAAAAGACCCTGGTAACATGCCCTTCCCCAAATCTCAAGCTGTGTCAACGACCCGGCTTCATTTTTAATCAAATGACTGAGCTACCTCCTAATTTCTAGATTCTGGCTACTCAAAAATAGATGCCATCATGCAAACTTGGGTTCTGCTAGGAGAGTTGCCCTGAAGACCAGGTACAGGTCTAAACGCCGCCTGTGCTCCGCTCAGCGAGTAAGCTGTAGTCAGGGAGCGATTAGGAAGCTATAAAAGATACTACATTCCAGTTTCTTATAGATTAGCACATTTTAAACCAAGACCAGCTTCCCACACCACGTAACCAATTCCGATTTTACCCTCATTCTAACACTTAGCTTTTCTTGATGAGTTTGATTAAACAACATTCTGCCTCAACAAATAACGTTGCAAACTTTTGAGGTCAAAATCTGAAATGGCTTATTTTCTTTAGAACTATGAGCAGGGACTGGAGGGGGATTATTAATTCGCAGATGGCTTATTTTCTATCCGAATCACTGGGCAGCATGCCTCTTCCTTTCCCCGCTGCTTGCTAGCATTTGCTGCGTCTGTTTTTCACCTGATGGCCTCAGGAAGTTTAGAGAAACATGAAGGCGGAAGGGTACGGAGTAGGATCACAAACAATATCATGTTTCAGATGGAGAGCCGCTTTCCCTAGCAATTTTCAGCAGCCGGAGAAGCACAGCGAGTATTTCGGGTACTCTTTGCATATGATCGTTTCCCTCCTACAACCCAGTGGGAAAGAGCAGCTCTGGAAGGTTCCAGGGAAGGTGCTGCTGGCTGAATATGTGGAAAGCCTTGCGGGTGTGTGTTTTGGGGACAGAATCCTGACACCTTTCTGAAGCTGGCGTGTGGCTCTCCGAGCTGTGAACACATGACGCTCAGCTGCTTGGTTTGCGCAGGACTCCCCGTTCTAGGGCACCACCTACACCCTGGCAGATGACTTTACGGCGAGCCTTATTTTCTTCTGATTGAATTAATCATCAATGTGCTCGAGGACGGGGCCTCTCCCCACGTTGCCATGCGGAGAGCGTTTGTTCCCTGTTTAGGCGATGATCCACTCGTTTCCCCAGCGGCTTTTATGGTCAAGATCTTTTCACCAAGCGCTGCTCATTCTGTGAGTTCCTTCTGTAGGAAGTCATGGCATAGAGGCTCTTTCCAAAGACACTATTCCCGGGGATGGATGATACGATGCTGCGAACTGTGAGAATGCCATCCCCTGGGGACAAACTATAATGATTTACATCAGTCTAATTTGAATCATTTTCAAACTTACCCCAAATGGCAAAAAAAAAAAAAAAAAAAGCATTCTTTTTAAGAGGAAACAAGCAGCAACCCAAGTCGGCGCCAACACGCCGAGGCGCCATTTGATAGTTCTCTGTAAATTGAAGTATTTATAGCTGCTCTAAGCTCACTGTCCCGAGTTGCAAGAAAATGAAATTCTACGTGGGTTTCTCAACATTGTGGTCTCTGGTTTTCAGTTTGGAGTGGCTGTCGGGCTTGGTGGGGATAATAACTTCGCTGAAGAGTTTACACTGGTGCATGCTTCTAGTTTGCACTCCGACTCCAGGGCGCTGGAAGCCAGCCAGGGACATTTTTTTCTGCTGGGTTCTTTGTTACGAGGAAGTTTCCCTTTCCGAGATGTGCTCTGGTGGGCACTGTGATTTCTATTTACATGTGGAATGAGGGTCTACTCAGAGGCAAGCCCAGCAAGATGCATATGTTGCTGGTAAAAACGGGCTCAATTCATTTTAAAATTGAATTGGAGTTTTTCTTTATGGACTGGCCTGGAATGTGCTTTGTGCAGTCGCTCATTTTCTAGACGTGTTTGTTCCCACTCAGTGGAAGTGGGAACTGTGGCGCCGTGCGGGATCGGAGAACAGTGGACTTGGTGGTGTTCTGTGCGCTTGGAAGACACGAGCAGGAGCAGCCGGCAGGAAGGGACACGGGCCTCTCTCCTGCACACTGCTGCTGCTCCAGAATCAGATCCGACACAGTGACATTGTCTTCTCCTTCCCCCTCTCGTGGAGAAAACGGAGAGGGACAAAAGGCGATTTTATGCAAACAGATCCATTAAATAAAGTACTTACTAGCTGTGTCCGTTTGGGACTTACTTTCTTTAGCCATTAAATGGGGATAACAATTTGGCCTCAGAGGGTTATCACGAGGCCGATGGAAATAAAGTTTGGAGCTGTGCCTGGCACATAGAACTACATACATGCTAACTGCCGTACTACTACTACTAATCATCATCATCATGATTATTGACCGTGTCTCAACTACTGTGTGGAGGCTGTAGGTGTTTTTACCAGAAGCTGCGTGCATCCATGACTCTGGGACATCCATGTCCCATGGCTAACTGGCTCTGCGATTTGGGGCAACTTAAACTATATGGACCCCAGTCTCTTCACCCGTACGTGGAGATAATAACATGATAGCCCCTGCCTTGTAGGATTGTTAGAGCACTCACTGACTCAGCTCATGCAGAGCGCTATGTAAACGGGTGTCAGAGACGGTGGTTACTGATGTCATCTCATTCACGTGGGAACCACCTTGCCATCCCTGCTCATTCTGCAGCTCCCACTGTGACGCCCTCCGGGGAGACCTTTCGAGTAGCTGCTTGGGACCACGTGCGCACGCTGCCTGCTCCTTTCGTGCCGGTCTCTGACCCCCATCTGCACCTTCACCTTTGCCTGAGATTTTGTAAACTGGAGTGAAGCTAAAATAGGGTGAAAAATGTCCTCTATCCATTAAGCATTGATTGACTATATACATGATTAATTTTCCTATCATGGCCACACTTATCCTTCTGAATTTAGGAGGGACAACTGGCTTCTTTTGATTTGTTATCATGCCCAGTCATCCTCCCAAACAATCCGGACTTAACTGGGTGATAAGCTCTCTTTCTCCTGTAAGGGTGTCTGCAAGTTCAGGGGCAGCAGGAGAAAAGCAGAAGAGATAAAATAACTCTTCCGACAGCAGCAGCTTGGGTGACACTGGTCATCTACTCGGCAGAGTGATGAGAAAGAGCGATGCCTCTTGGTGTCTACTAACTCCCCTGATTAGAGAGACTGAAAATCAGAATTCTTAGAGTCTTTGTGCACCTCTTTTTAACCCCTCCCTTAAGGAGGACCTAGCTTGTGGCACAAAGAAGATGCTTAGCAGTGTTCGTTGAATGAGCGTCTCAGAATCTGTTCAGACTTTTGTCCCCAGGGATTTGTTTCAGAAGGTATAGCAAGACTTTTAGGATCTATCCCAACCCCTGTCATAATAAGCTCAATGCTTCTTGCTTCAACCCCCGTCCCTTTATTTTAAAAATAGATGCTATTGAAGCTTTGGAGTCCCTGACCAAGGAGGAGAAGGGACGGACGAGATTCTATTTATTCCTGGCTCTGCTGATGTCGTGTTGCCGCCTGGCAATTCCCTTGACCTTTCCTCCCTCTTTCCCCCTAAGGAGCAGGCCTGCTGCGCACAGACCCCATGGGGGCGTGGGGAGGGTTTCGGGAGTGGATTCAACTATCTCAGGCTGTAATATGATGTTGCCAACGGCTTTGAGGCTCTGAGATGAAAGATGCTGTGTGGAAAAGCATTGTTATTACATTTTGTTAAAAAAATATGGATCAAAGGCTGGCTATACAGTAACTGCTAAATGTTAATTATTGTTATAATATCATAACAAAGC